AGGGGTTTAGGGGTTTAGGGCTCCTTAGCAAGCACCAGGGAGCCGGGGGCGGTGGATCCAGCGGCGCGGTGCTGGCGAAGGAGGCGTAGAGCTCCCCCAGGGCCGAGAGGCTTCCATTCTGGGCTTTACGGTTTAGGGTTTAGGGAGGAGCGGAGTTTCGGGTTTGGTGAAAGGTTTTTAAGGATTTTGGCGTTTGGGGAGTTCCGGGGTTTTTGGGATTTTGGGCGGTCTCTGGATTTTATGGGTTCAGGGTTAGGGGTTTTTGGGGAGTTAGAGGTGTTTATGGGTTTTGAGGTCCTTAGGGCTTTGGGGCTTGTATATAGGGTTCAGGAGTTTAGGGTAAAGGGCGTTAACGCTGCTGGGCTTCAGTGCAAGACTCCTCAAACCTATAGATCTAAACCCGAAACCCTAAAGCTCCTAAACCCAAACCCCTAACAACCCTAAACCCTAAACCCAAGTGGGCCTTGTAGATCAGGCCGGCATCCCCGTTCTTGCCGTCCACAATGGGAAAGTCCCAGTCGTCCTCGAACATGTTGAACCATGCCTTGGCTTCCGAACGCGAAGGGTTTAGGGTCTATAGGGCTTTGGGATTTAGGGTTTTAGGGCTAAGGGCCTAGGGCTTTGGGCTGAAGGGGTTTGGGTTTTGGGTTTTGGGCTTCGGGGTTTAGGGGTTTAGGGTTTTGGGCTTAGGAGTTGAGGGTTTAGAGTTTACGGTTGAGTTTCTGGTTTAGGTTTTAGGGCTTCAGGGCAAGCTTTAGGTTTGGGGTTTGGGGCTTGAGGGTAAGCTAGATTTTAAGGTTTTGGGCTTCAAGGTAAGTTTCAAACTTTTGGATTTAAGGGGCTTAAACATAGATTTAGGGTTTACGGCTTCGGGGTAAGTTCAGGCTAAAGGGCTCTACCAATTGAGTCGTGCGCGTGGCTGCAGAATTGGGTCCATAACGCTTTAAAGCCTCATTCCTGTAGGGTTCTAGCGTGTGCACGAACATCAAGAACGAGAACACGCGACAAAAAGCTGCAAGAAACAGTCTCAGTCACAAGCGACAACAACAAAAATGTAAACAAAACATAAAATAAGCAACGACGGCCAACCACAGCC